GCCCATGCACTCTGCCCCAGGGCCAGACTCATGGAACTCCGTGTTCATCAAGAACTGCAAGAAGCCCCTATCACGAGCCTTTACCTAGAAAATGACCTAGAAAATGTACAGAGAACCTTCACGGCGCGCATAACGAAGATAAAACACCTCAATTACTGGGAGCGCTTGAGGTTCCTGAACCTGTATTCCCTGGAACGCAGGCGGGAGAGATACATGATTATATACACCTGGAAAATCCTAGAGGGACTAGTACCGAACTTGCACACGAAAATCACTCACTACGAAAGCAAAAGACTTGGCAGACGATGCAACATCCCCCCAATGAAAAGCAGGGGTGTCACTAGCACGTTAAGAGACCATACAATAAGTGTCAGGGGCCCGAGACTGTTCAACTGCCTCCCAGCACACATAAGGGGGATTACCAACAGACCCCTGGCAGTCTTCAAGCTGGCACTGGACAAGCACCTAAAGTCAGTTCCTGATCAGCCGGGCTGTGGCTCGTACGTTGGTTTGCGTGCAGCCAGCAGCAACAGCCTGGTTGATCAGGCTCTGATCCACCAGGAGGCCTGGTCACAGACCGGGCCGCGGGGGCGTTGACCCCTGGAACTCTCTCCAGGTAAACTCCAGGTAAACATAATCATTTTCATTTATGGTAATGACGCAAAATAACTCCAAAAATGATGTATTTGCAGACAGAAAAACATAGACAGCATATATAATATTTATTTGATCAGACTTTGGTCAGACTTAATGGTTCTTAACATTACTCATTATAACATACATTTCTCAAAATGACACCTTAAAGTTTAAAACATGTAATCTCAGAGCTAAAACAACTCTATTAAATATATGCATACGTTATATATTTAATGTATATATATATATTATATATATATATATATATATATATATATTATATATTATATTTTTATATATATAATATAATATATATATATATATATATATATATATATATATATATTTATATTATATATATATTGAAGGGGGTGGGAGAGTTTCAGTGGAAGAGGAAATAAATGGGATTAGGTCAGGGGTTTCAAATAGAGTTAGAGCTAAAGAAGGAGTAGCAAATTTTGAAGGAAAAAGCTATGGCAGGAAAAGGGGACTAAAAAATGTATTAATTCAAGGATTATGGGGGAGGCAAAATAAAGATTGGATGTGAAAAGTGGGTTATAATAAGCGTGTTAGCACCTGGAGAAGAGAGAGTGTAGAGGAGAGAGAGAGATTTTGGGAAATGTTGAGTGAATGCGTGGGGAGTTTTGAATCAAGTGTGGGGAGAAATTTGGTGGTTGGGGATTTTAATGCTAAAGGGGGTTTAAAATGTTATGGAGGGAGTAGAAAGGTAAATTTGGGGTCCCAGGGGTAAATGTAAATGGGGAGCCTTTAATTGAGCTATGTGTAGAAAGAAATTTGGTAATAAGTAATACATATTGTATGAAAAAGAGGATAAATAAATATAAAAGGTATGTTTGTAGCACGTAATGAAAGTATTTTATTAGATTATGTATTGGTGGATAAAAGGTTGATGGGTAGGCTCCAGGATGTACATGTTTATAGAGGGGCAACTGATATATCGGATCTTATTTAGTTGTAGCTACAGTTAGAGTAAGAGGTAGATGGGAAAGAGGAAGGTGGCAACAACAAGTAAGAGGGAGGTGAAAGTGTATAAACTAAGGGAGGAGGAAGTTCGGGTGAGGATATAAGCGACTATTGGCAGAAAGGTGGGCTAGTGCAAAGATGAGTAGTGGGGGGGTTGAAGAGGGTTGGAATGTTTTAAAAATGCAGTATTAGATGTGGGGCAGAAGTTTGTGGTTATAGGAGGGTGGGGGGCAGGAGGAAGAGGAGTGATTGGTGGAATGATGAAGTAAAGGGTGTGATAAAAGAGAAAAAGGTAGCTTATGAGGGGTTTTTTACAAAGCAGAAGTGTTATAAGAAGGCAGAGTATATGGAGAGTAAAAGAAGGTAAAGGGGAGTGGGGGAGAGAGTGCAAAAGGAGAGCAGATGATAGAGGGGGGAGAGGCACTGTCAAGAAATTTTAATGAAATAAGAAAAATTTTGGAGCGAGTTAAACAAGTTAAGAAAGCCTAGGGAAATATGGATTTGTCAGTTAAAAACAGAGTAGGGGAGTTAGTAGATGGGGAGATGGAGGTATTGGGTAGATGGCGAGAATTTATTTGAGGAACTTTTAAATGTTAAGGAAGAAACAGAGGCAGTAATTTCATGCACTGGTCAGGGAGGTTACCATTTTTAGGAGTGAAAAAGAGCAGAATGTAAGTTTTGGGGGAGGTACGTGAGGCATTACGTAAAATGAAAGGGGGTTAAGCAGCTGGAAACTGATGGGATCATGACAGAAATGTTAAAAGCAGGGGGGGATATAGTGTTGGAGTGGTTGGTACTTTTGTTTAATAAATGTATGAAAGAGGGGAAGGTACCTAGGGATTGCAGGGAGAGCATGTATAGTCCCTTTATATAAAGGGAAAGGGGGACAAAAGAGACTGAAAAAATTATAGAGGAATAAGCTTCTGAGTATACCAAGAAAAGTGTACGGTAGGGTTATAATTGAAAGAATTAGAGGTAAGACAGAATGTAGGATTGCGGATGAGCAAGGAGGTTTTAGAGTGGGTAGGGGATGTGTAGATCAGGTGTTTACATTGAAGCATATATGTGAACAGTATTTAGATAAAGATGGGGAGGTTTTTATTGCATTTATGGATTTAGAAAAGGAAATATGATAGAGTGGATAGAGGAGCAATGTGGCAGATGTTGCAAGAAAATGGAATAGGTGGTAGTTATTAAAATGCTGTAAAGAGTTTTTTGAGGATAGTGAGGCTCGGGTTTTAGGGTGTGTAGAAGAGAGGGAGATTTACTTCCGGTTTAAAAGTAGGTCTTAGACAAGGGTGTGTAATGTCACCATGGTTGTTTAATATATTTATAGATGGGGTTGTAAAGGAAGTAAATGCTAGGGTGTTTGGGAGAGGGGTGGGGATTAAATTATGGGGAATAAAATTCAAAAGGGGGAATTGACACAGTTACTTTTTGTTGATGATACTGTGCTTATGGGAGATTCTAAAGAAAAATTGCAAAGGTTAGTGGATGAGTTTGGGAATGTGTTTTAAAGGTAGAAGTTGAAAGTGGGAAAATAGAAAAGAGTAGGTGATGAGGGTGGGCAAATGATTTGATAAAGAAAAATTGGATATCAATTGGGGAGGGGAGTATGGAAGAAGTGAATGTTTTCAGATACTTGGGAGTTGACGTGTCGGCGGATGGATTTATGAAGGATGAGGTTAATCATAGAATTGATGAGGGGAAAAAAAAGGTGAGTGGTGCGTTGGGTATATGTGGAGTCAAAAAACGTTTTCTATGGAGGCAAAGAAGGGAATGTATGAAAGTATAGTAGTACCAACATCTTATATGGGTGTGAAGCTTGGGTGGTAAATTTCAGCGCAAGGAGACGGTTGGAGGCAGCGGAGAATGTCCTGTCTAAGGGCAAGTGTGGTTTTAAATATTATGCAAAAAATTCGGAGTGTGGAAATTAGGAGAAGGTGTGGAGTTAATAAAAGTATTAGTCAGAGGGCAGAAGAGGGGTTGTTGAGGTGGTTTGGTCATTTAGAGAGAAAGGATCACAGTTTAGAATGACATGGAAAGCATATAAATCTATAGGGGAAGGAAGGCGGGGTAGGGGTTTGTCCTCGAAAGGGTTGGAGGAGGGGTAAAGGAGGTTTTGTGGGTAAGGGGCTTGGATTTCCAGCAAGCGGCGTTGAGCGTGTTAGATAGGAGTGAATGGAGACGAATGGTACTTGGGACCCGCGATCTGTTGGAGTGTGAGCAGGGTAATATTTAAATGAAGGGATTCAGGGAAACCGGTTATTTTCATATAGTCGGACTTGAGTCCTGGGAAATGGGAAGTACAATGCCTGCACTTTAAAGGAGGGGTTTGGGATATTGGCAGTTTGGAGGGATATGTTGTGTGTCTTTATATGTGTATGCTTCTGGGCTGTTGTATTTTGAGCACCTCTGCAAAAACAGTGATAATGTGCGAGTGTGGTGAAAGTGTTGAATGATGATGAAAGTATTTTCTTTTTGGGGATTTTCTTTCTTTTTTGGGTCACCCTGCCTCGGTGGGAGACGGCCGACTTGTTGAAAAAAAAAAAAAATATATATATATATATATATATATATATATATATATATATATATATATATATATATATATATATATATATATATATATATCGTGCCGATTTGGCAGAATTTGCGATCTTGTCTTAAATAGCAACGCTCATCTTGCCATATAGGACATGTGAAAATTTGTGTATGTAATAATTTCGCCAAAATCATTCTGAACCTAACGAAAAAAATACATTTCACTGTGTTTGTTTAGTATTAAATTACTGTAAATAAAACTAAAATACATTTAGTTGGGTTAGGCTAAAATAAATTGTTCTTGTTATAATAAGGTTAGGTAAGTTTTCTAAGATTCTTTTGGTGCAAAATTAAAAAAATTTACATTAACATTAATGAAAAAAATATATAAGAGAAAATTTTAGAACGGACTTAATTTTAAATGAGTTCTTGCTAATTGACCAGTTTTACATATTCGGGGACGACAATATATATATTTTATTATATTATATATATAATATATATATATATATATATTTTATATATATATATATATATATTTTATATTATATATATATATATATATATATATATTATTTTATATATATATATTTATATATATTTTATTATGTGTGTATGTATGTATAACTATTCAAGACACGCCCAGGAGGGTGGAAATTTTTAGCTCAAGATTTCCATCCCCCCCCTGTGGGTTGTCTTGCATTCTATATATATATATTATATATATATATTTTATATATATATATATATATATATATTATATATTATATATATATTTTATTATATTATATATATATATATATATATATATATGTATATTTATTCGTAGAGCATCACTTCCCATCACATTTGAGGTTTGCTTGGTGGTAGAATGTAGGCCTACTGCCCTCCCTCACCAGGTGCTGTAGAGGTGGGGCGTGGGTTGGCCTACTTCCCTCCCCCCCCAGATGTTGTAGAGGTGGGGCGTGGGTAGGCCTACCCTTGCCCTCCCTCCGGCAGGGGTTGTGGAGGCAGGATATGAGGCAGCGGAGGACGCTCATTATGGTAGTGACCATGAAGTGGGAACCTGGGAAAGGTGGTGACTATGGGCACGTATGGTGGCTTCACTCTGTCATTAAACAACCATGGTGACACATCAAATCCTGAAGACATAAATAGTCTGTATAAGTTATATCATGTACTTGTAAAAGTAAAGATTATTATTATTACTTAATAAAAAAATATAATACGTATTAGTTCATGTCATTGGCGGACAAAGAAACACTCAACCCGTCACATCTGTGCTGTAATAACCTATGTGACATGTCAAGATATCTTATTAATGAAATAAGATACCAGATATACTAAGCAAATTTCCTAAATTTGCTTGTAACAGATAAGTGAACTATAGATATGTAGATATAAATCCATATGTATTCCTGTTAACCCTTTGGGGCCTAGTTCCTAGGCCTTTTGTGTATCCATATGCTCTCGCGCTACCGTCCATAGTATGGATATGGGGTGCACAATAAACTAGCCACTTCGGTGGCAAAATCTAAATTTAATCTGTACTGTATTATAATAAGTGAATAGATGTTTTGATGTTCCCTTCACATGACAGATACCTGTGAGTAATATCTAACTCTGTAAGATGATGTTCAAGTTACAAGGTAGACTTATAGTATTTAGCACTATAAGATAAGATTTTGTTCGGATTTTTAACCCCGGAGGGTTAGCCACCCATGATAACCCAAGATACTCAGTGTCATCGAGGACTGTCTGTCTTATTTCCACTGGGGTCCTTTAATCTTGCCCCCCAGGATGCGACCCACACCAGTCGACTAACACCCAGGTACCTACTTGCTTACTAGGTGAACGGAGACAACAGGTGTAAGGAAACACGCCCAATGTGTCTACTCGACCGGGGATTGAACCGTGGACACTCAGTGTGTGAGGTTATATATATATGATTTCTAACACTAATACTATGTAGTACAGGGCCACGTAGGCCTACGTACCTATATCATTACCCAAGAATATTTTTCTCCATATGTCTCGCTTCTTGGCTATCAACTCCAACACCTGCAATAAAATTTATAATAAAGCTTCACAAAATATTTACTGAGGGAAATTTTGATAAAATTCTATTGAAAATGTCTTCGAGAAAAGTGATGGCGATTGACTCGCATATACGTAATATACGTAAATACAAATATTTTTTATAAAGATAGTACGAGCGTCGCCATTTTACTCGTACGTCATATTAATAAAATCAGATGTGAAAAGGAGTTAAGAATTTTGGTGGTATAAATGTAAAGTTAAGGCAGAAGTGTTTGTGTATTCACTGTAAAGTTAATAGATTAACTGGCTTCATAATCAAGAAATGTAAATAAAATAAGTCTCCAGGTAATATGGTAATACTTTATAAGTATTACCATATAGTCACCATATGGTCACTTATAAGGTAAGGCCTTATAAGTGACCATCTCACTGAAAAGAGCCTATTGAGATCGATACCATGCCTAACCCTTCTAGGGTAGGGTAGGTGCCTGAGCCCGAGCCTTTAGCTCATAAGACTGTCATTCCCATTTGCCCCCTTGGGGCGGGGATGGCAGACCAGAGAGGCCTAGCTTGTGGCTAGGCCTGGGGACAGTTGGTCCCAAAGATGAGGAGGTACTTGTGCCTCCTCCCATGGGAGACTTAGGTCTCAGACACTCCCTAAAGAGGGAGCCAAGGTCGGGCCACCACTTGGAAAAGGCCCGGGCCGGGAGAATACCGGCGAATATTTAATAATAATAATAAAGCCTATTGAGTTTGTTTCAGAAATTGAGACTGGAGGTTCATTTTTGGTGAGTATTTGTGATTTATTGGAAATTAGGATTTAAGAGTTTTCTATGGATTTCTTTTATGACACGTTGTTTAGTTTATATTAATTATTAGATTCGTAAATATAGATAAATTTATGTTTGTTGTTTCAGTAGAGATTGGTTGTAGTCTTCACTCTTCAGTTTCGTATTTCTTATCAATTAATGTCTTAATATCTTAAAACAATTTTTTTTTTTTTTGCAAGCAGTATTTGCACGTAACAGAGGAAGTAGGTAGTGCAAGTTTCAGAATTTTTAATAAAAACTTTATATTGGGTCAATATTTTTATAAACGGTATTAGAAAATCGGTTGAACATGGTTATTACTGTACCTTGAAATATGCATCCAAGGTGACTGCTTGAGTGATGATGGGAGATACAGCCACCAGCACCACACAACACACCTTCATCAACATCCTGCAGGTTACACACACTGCTGATCCTGGAAGCTCTTTATAATCATCACTAAGTATTTATATATTTTAAGATGAGGTGAAATATGGAACAGAACACAAGCAACACACACACTGAAGATTAAGACACATGTGCAACACTTGGGTATCTTTATTGATGAAGTGTTTCGCCTACACAGTAGGCTTCTTCAGTCAAATACAGAGAGAACAGTAGTAATGAAATAAATATGTGATCAGTCTATCAACCTTGGAGAAAAAGTATTTGAGGTGGTCAGTCCCTCAGCCTGGCTGAGGGACGTCGTTTGGGTCCGTCAGTGGACCATTATGAATTATTCAGTTTCTGATTTTAGTTGACTAATTAACTGTAAATTGATGCAGGTTATGTATTCTGACTTTTATTCATATAATAATACATACTTCTCAAAGATTAACAACTAGCAACCATTGCAAGAATAATATTACAACAAAATAATCCGCGGGTAAAATTTAACCTGGCTACACATACCACAACCAATGTTTCAACATGAAGTCTTTCACTTAACACCTTTCTAAGCTGTCAGAGAAATCCATTACTTTCAAATATAAAAAAAAAGTGTTATGAATAATACTGCCAGCCATATATAAATCGTTTTTTTTAAATTGCTCTATTATGTTTCAAGAATCATACATTGTGCTAGAGGAATTTAAAGATGGATATCTTACAAACATTGCTACAAACACGGAAATGCTGTTTATGTCAAGTTATATAAGAAAGTGTGTTGACCAAGACCTACCTGGCTGTCTCTTCCAGGTACACTGACTGACTGCTGTATGGGACACTGGCTACACTCGCCAATCGGGGTTGCTTCGTAAAACTTAAGAAAACGGAACACTGCTGTAGGTCTACTGGCCTATACTAAGCAGGGCCAACTTAATAATAAATAAATATTTTATTTTCCAAGAAGGTACACAAATATAACGATGGGTTGATGCCTTCCAAGTTCCAATATCCCCTCTAAATCTGAGCTTATCCAATTTCTGTTCTCTGCTACGAGCCTCGTCCTGGCTAAATATCATCATCTTTTCTGTATCACCTGTACCTCAAACTGTCCTCGCCTGCATCCCTCAGTCACATCCCCCTCCTTCTGTGCTTTCCAGGGAGGGAGGATTCAGATCTCCCAGTCACAGCCGTAGGTAAGATTCACAATAGAGAGGCTCATTGAATAAAAAAAAAAAGTTTCAGAAAGAAATTTTAATATGACAACATTTCTATCTGTTAAGATCTTTATGGCATATAGCAAATATCCCTTGTGTGCACCGTACTTACTGGCAGGCGAGGAAGAGGTGAGGTGAGTAATCTGATGAAAATCTTAATTAATGGAAACGTTATTCTGGCTACAGGCTTATTATTTCTTCACTACTGTAAGCGCAACCCCCTTTGCGATCCTGCTGTGAAAGGCAGTAATAGGGCTTAAAAATACTGCCGCAGGTGGTACTCTGCGGGGGTTTTCCCGAGGGTAAAAAGTTCAAAAACTATAAAAAGTATTGAAAAAATACGAAATGACTAATATTTTTTGTGATGAAAAACAATGTCGGTGAGGTTGATAAGGCCCCATTATGACCTCTGTAACCCTCTTTTATCTGCGCTACCACTCACAAGATAGCTGCAGGTGCACATAGCCCCCCAGGCGGCAACAGCTAAAAAAAAAGACTGTCCACAGGATAAAAAAGAGGTGATCCTTTTCAAAAGGGTGGGTTTTATGTGGTGGCTACTGTCCACGGGATGGGTGTGGTGGGATATTTTTCCAAAGGAGGTTTACCCCCCAAATCCTATGGAGGTTTACTGTCCAAAAGGGCCCCCAAGGTTAGGTCCCCGGAGAGGTTGTGTGACTATGTCCACAGGAGGGGGTTTATGGTGGTACGTCCCGGATAGGTACATGGGAGGTATGAGTGACTACTGTCCCAGGATGGGTTTATGGTGGCTACTGTTACAGGTTAGGTACTGGAGTGGTATGTAGTGACTATGCCCCGGGATGGGTTTATGGTGACTATGTCCAGGAGGGGTTTGTGGGATACTGTTCACGCTAGGTACCGGAGTAGGTATGTGTGATACTGTCCACGGAGGTTGGGTAGTTGTCCACGGATGGGTATGTGGTGACTACCGGCCCTCAGAATGGTTTGGGATAATTACGTTAAACGTTTTTTCAGTTTCCCCAATTTTACTCGGTGTTCTAGTAATGATAATAAGGTTATGAAGAGAAGGCGTTGGGGAAAAGGAAAGAGGGTATGTTGTTTTGGGTTTAGGTAATCGACGTATCTTATTAAGGGGCGAAAGTGGTGGGATGGTATTTAATTAATGGGCGAAAGTGGGGGGATGTATCTTTTAAATATGGGTAAAGGTGGTGGGATGGTATGTTTTTAAATTGGGGGTAAAGGTGTGGGATGGTTGTTATTAATTTGGGTGAAGGTGGGGGGAAAATTTGGTATTTTTAATAGGGTAAAGGGGGTGGGATGGTATGTTATTAATATGGGTGAAGGTGGTGGGATGGTATGTTATTAATATGGGTGAAGGTGGTGGGATGGTATGTTATTAATATGGGTGAAGGTGGTGGGATGATATCTTTTATAGGGGTTTAAAGGGGTTGGTGGGAGGGTATTTTATTAAATGGGTAAAGGGTGGTGGGAGGTATTTTTAATTAAATTTTGGGTGAAGGTGGTGGGAGGGTTGTTTTTAATATGGGTGAAGGGGGGGGGGATGGTTTGTTATTAATAGGGGTAAAAGGTGGTGGGATGTATCTCTATTCCATCAATGGTTCGGTAGGACGGGCAGTGCTGATACTCTTGATTATCAGTAGGTCTGAAATTGGTGATTAGTTGGCCTATACAAGATTAATTTTATGCAAAACAGCCACGGGGGGAGTAGAATGATAGCTATAGGCCTTTCGTGTTGCAATCAACACATCACCAGGAGCTTGCAAAATTGCAGAAAAGGGAGGATGAAGCAAGTACGTGCCTAGGGGCGTCTCACATTCCACCTCACATGATTATCACTACTCCATGTGAAACGTCCATGGGAAGTACTTGCTTGGCTCTTCCTCTTTTCTGCAATTTTGCAAGCTTGATGATGTGTTGATCGCCCGACGAAAGGCCTGAGCTATCATTCTATCCCCCGTGGTTGTTTTTTCATTTGTTCGTTTGGTTTGCGATATTTGCATAATATATATATTTATATATATATATATATATATATATATTTTTTATATTATATATATATATATAAATTTTATATATAATATATATATTATAAGAGTTACATAGTGGAAAAGCCGCGTGTGGTGGTAATTGATGACTAGATTGTATCAAAAAAATAAAAGTAGAGAAGTCTCAAGGCTGTTACATAGGTCTTACAGAGGTGTGGCGCTTATTTTGTGGGGATGATAATGGTGTACATGTTTGCTCAGTGCAAAATGGATTTTGGGGAAAACATACGGGAAGGATAAATAAATTATATTGCCCCTGGATCCAAATGGCATATTGGACGTAATGAAGAAGAAACATTTGCAGGGAAGAGGTTTATTGAAATACGTTTCGATATCATACGATCATTATAAGTATACAAAATATGAAAATTGCTTTAAAATTGGCTTGGAAGGAGAGAAAGAGGCGGGTGAGGAAATCGTTGACATGTGAAGAATGCTACATTAACGCCGAGAATATGACATGTGCCAGTGGGCTGGTGTATAGGTCGTTTAGGTATGGAAGGTTCTAAGAGAGCTACAGGTCTCTCACACTCACTCAAGTATATCACCATCATACCCGTGCTGGAGAAGTTATTGATAACGTTGGGTCTCTACTTTCTTCCAGGTGTCGTGTGAGAAGATTCATCAGAGTTTCTGCTCTAGGTTCCTGTTTTTTTTTTCGCCGGTCGTTGACTCTGGAGATTAATATTATGTGTTCCGTCGTGTGTTCATCGAGTTTACTACAGAAGCTAAATCCGAAGTGTGTTTGAAGTTGTAAGAAAGACGTGGCGACATACTCTTCAAGGTACCACTGGTCTTGAGTGATAGAGGAGGAAAGGGGGTGCTCAAATTGTGTCAGATGAACAAAAGTATTTCATAGATTCAATTTTGTCAGAAAATAGTGTGTTACACTGACTGTAAGCTATTAGGAGTAACGAATGTATCTTCTGACTCGAGGCTCCATGTTACTGCAGTATGTGACCAGTTGGATCCAAATAGCGTGTGTACTGCCGATAATAGTGAATAAACGATAAATTTACAGAAGGAACTTTTTATTGGGATAACGTTTCGTTCTGTTAAGATCGTACAGATAGAAACGTTGTCCCAGTAACAATTACATTCTGCAAACATGTGAGAGTGAGGATCTTCACTGCCGGCGGTGTCACTCAGACTTGATGCCCCTAGTGTCCGCAATGTTTGAGTGACGTAGTGGACACTAGGGGCACCATGCCTGAGCGACCTGACTGCTATACTTGTGGTAGTTTCCCAGCACTAGTGACAAATGTTGGGTCCAGCACCGTAACGAGACCTTCCCTCGTGCCTGGATCAACAAGGCTAATCATAGGCAAGTGTCACACATTCCGTGGGGGTTTGAGCCCATAGCAAGTGAGTCCTGTGAATTTTAGGACTCACCTACCATGGGTTCAAACCCCACCCGTTCCCTGGTTTATTTCATAGCCATTTGTTTCAGCAAAATAATGTCAAGGGAGCAAGTGTGTATCCCTAAGCCGCCTGGGATAGGAATATTCACCCGTTTCACAGGCCGCAGAATCGATGAGGGAAATAGCTCCAGGTCACTTGTTCTATCTAGGCTGGAATATTGCTGCACACTAACAGATTAGATTTTGCCACCGAAGTGGCTAGTTTATTGTGCACCCCATATCCATCCTGTGGACGGTAGCGCGAGAGCATGGCCCCAAAGGGTTAACAGGAATACATATGGATTTATATCTACATATCTATAGTTCACTTATCTGTTACAAGCAAATTTAGGAAATTTGCTTAGTATATCTGGTATCTTATTTTCATTAATAAG